ACTTTCAGATTGAGACTAATCAGGCCTAAATTCTCATCTTGGTATAGACTATCCAATTCTGAAGCAAATGAAGAACTGCCAACCTCTGACTCTCACCCCTCCCTCACTTTCACCCTGCATTTACTTACTCCTTAGGTTGGTGTTTTCTGTGGTACAGCATTTCAAAGCACCCTTTCTGTTTGTACTCACTTTCATATTGCTAGACATAATTCATATTATGAATCAAGTGTACATATTGTGCTTTTTAAAAAGCCCCTGCTTTCAGTAAAATTTGTATTATAACATTAGCAGAATGCCAGCAACCACTCGTCTGTCTTGGTTCCCAGACTGAAACACGGTTGAAAAATAAATCTGCTGACTTAAGCATAGTGAAAGTGACTTCAGACTGGCATGATGAAGTTATTTCTCTGGCACATATAACTTGGAACATAAGCGTTAATGACAGAACAAGAAAGAGGGCACTCATTCCTGATCATACCTTGCAAAGTAGAGTGTTTGTTTATGTCAGCTAGGTATAAAAAGACACTTGTCGTAATACAAATTCATGCCACTGTGCATGTGTAAGAAAATTTCTGAATCTGAGATTCTGAATTTTCTAAGAAAATACAAATTCTGTAGTCTTCTGACTGGCTGCACGCCAGACATCAGAAATTAATTTGAAAAAATAAAATAACTGCAGATGACATACGTGTTTTGCAGTGTCATTTGTCTGACTGCACTGTGCTCACGTCAGGTGTGATAGTTATCTCGGCGTTAATTTGTTCTAATGAATACTTTTAAAATTACTAGGAGCCATACATGGAAGGGGTAAATCCATTCATCAAGAGCAACAAACATCGCATGATCATGTTCTTGGATGAACTTGGGGTAAGCGGTTAAAAAAATCTTTACTGGGAGTTACATAGCAGCGTTGTAAATTAAAATTCTTTACACTTATTAATTACCTTAAAAATGCATCAGCTCCCCACACCATTTTGAATTCTTGTGACGGAATAATTTTTTCTTATGCATGTATAGAAACTGCAGATTGCTGGCCTGTCATATGGAATTAAAACCATCAGATGTCATCTTAGACTTTATTCATTTAGCACCTCTGTAGATGTAAGAAGCTCAAATAGATTTTATAGCTATAAGGATTAGAAATTTTGGCCAAAAATACAAATATTTTAAAAATATCTTCTAAAATAAGAGTTCTTATATATAATTTGTACGGTTTTGACCAGAGATTGAAATTAGGTTTTGCTTTAAAAAATAGTAGGTTAAAATTCAGTTATGCATTACCAAATGTATCACTGCATGCATTCGAGATATTGTAGTTTGGAAGCAAACTGCAATTACTGTATTCTTTTAAACTCTTAGTTTTGTGTATGATAGCTATAACAGGAATTAGGTCCTCATGTTTATGTATATATTTTTAAACAAGAATTCATTTCAAAAACCAAAATGAAAAAAATGTGTCAAGCTTCCTGAATAGATCCCTTAAAAATGACCTAGAAGACAGCTCAGAATATTTTCAGAAAATATAAAAGTGTGTGGCATTTGGTTAGGTTGTCATATGTCACCTTTTTCTGTTTAAATTGCAACTTCTGCATATTATGTTAGTTGTCTTTAAATGACAGATTTTGCATAAGGGCTCTGAAAACTATTAGTTTGAAAATAACTTGGATTAATCTGTTTTAATTACATCATCATTTTATGACCAGTTTAATAAGTTGCTTGATAAGATTTTGCTGAATTTTTGTTGCTGCTGTTCTCTCGTTTAGACTGGGGAAAAAAAAATCACCCGATGAACAGATTCCTCCTCATTTAGGGGAATGCTGTGAGTCTCTTTATATGCAGTAGCTTTCTGGTTGGATCAATGGTAGCGTAGCAATACCAGATACCTTCTAGCAGGAGTAGAAATTGCAGTACACTCATCAAACACATGCTTTTGGAGAGGAAAAAATACCTAATTTCTAATAGAAAGATGGATTGGAGACTTAGCTAGAAAGACAAACATTGCAGTACTTGCTTGCAGTATAAAACAATTGTGTCGGCAGAGCTGTAGAGTTGTAATTTATCTTCCTGTGTGCCTGCGTACTCAGCATCCTAAATCCTCTGTCATCCTTTTTGCTGAAGAATGTTCCTGAGCTTCCAGACACTACAGAACACTCTAGAACTGACCTATCTCGTGACCTGGCGGCCTTGCATGAGATATGTGTGGCACACTCAGATGAACTCCGGACGCTCAGTAACGAGCGAGGTGTAATGCAGGTAAGTGACAAACACAGGTAGAGTTACAGCTTGAGATACTCCTTAATACCAGGATGCTTTTGTACTATTTCTGGCTAGCAGTATGACTGATAAACATTTTAAAATACGTGCATTTCGGCAGGAGGTTATTAGCCGTAAAGTTCATAGTTTTGTTTCTTCATGCAACAAAACCAAAGAGGGTTTGTAAAGTTCCAAGAGGAAGTTACAGTTTCTAGAGGAAGCCTAACCCACAAAATTACTGTCTCCTGACAGGCTCTCTGGGTTGTTAGTTTTAGCATCTTGGTTTTTTTCAGTTGAGAACTACATTTATTTTCATTACGTTTCTGTTGATACCTCATTTCTGCTTCGTAATTTGCTGGTACATTTGTAAACAAACATGGCAAACTTTTCTAGCAAACCCCCAGAGTGTGTTATCAGTATGCTTTCGTAGCCTCCCTGTTAAACCACAAAACAGCAAAAAGATCCATGGGTGGACAGGTGAAATTCATAATGCTGTTTTAGACTACCTTTTTGAAGGTAATGTCTTATTGACTAGGGAATCAGCTGTTTGTTTGGTTTGATATATTTTAAACTACCTAGTAGCAGATGTGATAGGCTGATGCTGAAAGTGCTTCTCAAGCAAGACTGTTCTGTTTCCATTAGCTGACGTGTGGTTTTACTGACTCTCTCTACAGCATGTTCTTAAGAAGCTTTTGGCTATCACTGAACTGCTTCAACAAAAACAAAATCAGTATTCAGTGTCTAATAACATCAGGTAGCAGCCCTCTACCTGAATTCTGCATGGATCCAGCATGCCCAACATGGCAACTCACACCAGTATCACTTTCTTCTTGCTCTTGCCAAAAATAGCACACCCTGTCACATTCCCAGTGATGTGTGAACTATGCAAAAAGAAAACACAGATTCTGTTGGTGAATGATTGTACCAGCAGCTTTTTAAGCTATCTGTGCAGGACATTTGCACTTTTTTCCACTTGGAAACAGTTTTCAAAACCTCTGAGCCTTGGTGTACAGTTCACCTTCCGCAAAGAAAATGCTGTGACTGTGTTTTGAACTTTGAAAATTACTCAGCAGCTCTGATTGCCAAAGTTTTGCTGTCTTGTTGGAAGAGAATTATCAACTGACATGAAAAGAAATGTGTTGTTTTGACAGCCACCTATAACTGGATAACATTTCTTACTGTAATTTCTGACTGGTTACAATAATTACAACTTTTGACTGTTTCAACCACTTTAACTTGTATTTACAGTTTTCAGAATTTGATGTTATGGTAGAAACAATCTTTACTGTACACTTTTTATACCATGCTGTTTCTCTTGCTGGAATCATGTTGGAAGAGAATATGCAGAATGGGTCTTGTCAGCTTTATTTTTTGATGTGCCACTGATTCAGTCTGAATAGTTCTTCCATCAAGAACTGTATATCCAGATAAATCACAACGCTTTTGTAAAATGTTTACAACAGTAAATAATTTGAATTCAGTAAATTTATTGATCATTGTATCAGACATGCATGCATTCATTAAACCATTTTATAAAATATGTATTGGTTGGTCTTTTGTCTACTGTAAGTCTAGCATAAATATTATTTTTATAAGTGAAAAATAAGTTTTTAAAATAAATCAAGCTGCAGATCAACTTTTTGTGGAAACTGGCTACCTTTGGTTGCTGTGGAAATTTTTTACAGTGTCTGCACACATGATGTACTTTGAAATGTGCATGCGGTGTCACTTTTTTAGCATGAATCCTTGGAACAGCATTACCTTGTTATCTAACATTGTTAGACGTTAAAACTGTATAAAAGAATTAAAAGTAAAAAATGCAGTTGATTCAGAGGGTATTTCAGCATCACCATTCGTAACTTTACATGATCTCAAGAAATAAAAGCATGCTGCTCTTCCCTGACTAGTCAGCCAATGACCCTGGTATTTGTCAAAACCAGAGTGGATCAAGTGGGTTATTCTGTACATTAAATTGGCTGGATGTGGGTAGTATAACATGGTAAAAATGAACTGTAGAGAACAGACTTGACTGGCTGTTCACCTATCATGTACAAAATGCAGTGAAGAGAATGAATCCAGGAAATTTCCAAAGTTGCATTTAGATGTGCGTATTATAGAACTACTTATATTCTAAAACAGTGTATGAACAGGAAATGGACTTTGCTCTAGAGCTGGAAGACATCTAACTACTTAGGAAGGTTTTTAAACATTCTTCTCAGTTGTCCCCAGGTAAGTTAGTCACAGCAACCTAATCTGAGATCACAGCTGCAGAGTAAGTCACAAAGATGTGATTATTACCTTCCATATTGTAAAATACGCTGCAGCCTCTTGGTACGTTTGAGAAGAGCTTCCCAAAAGTACCAAGTCTTAATGGCATGTTGTATTCTTTCAGCTGCTTCAGTGACAAGCTTGGGAAGATGGAAGCACGTCCAGGTCTCCAGCTTCCATTTAGCTGCTTAACTAAAGGCCCAGTTTGACATTAAGTGTAGGATTACAGCATGGCAGTAGCTGTTCTGGAACCAAAACTCTTCCCTGAGTGACAGATTTCTTAATAATGTTTGACCTTGAATGGATGAGAGTTTAACAGCCTTTTAGTAAAGTCACAGACTTTTATTTTAAAATGTTAAGAACCAACAGAATAAAAACCTTGGAACACACAGTAAGGTACCTGCAGCACGCAGATTCACACCTGACACCGAACGGTAGTTTCTGCAGTGGTGGGACTCTGTTTTCCTTCACAGTTATACTTAGTCCACAAGATCATCATCAGTCCACTCTTCCTGGAAGGGAAGAAAGCAATGCCTTGAGCAATGTGTGAATTTGGTGTGTTTCACAGCAAGGTACGCCAAGCAGTATGTGACTGCAGGTACATGGCACCACTGCACATGCTGCCACAGTAACTGCCACTACATATGCTCATTACAGAGAATTTAATTAACACATAACTTTTCACATCTCTGAACTGTGTCTGCTATCAGTAATAGAGGTAAATAGCACGTTTAAACTGATCTTAAACATAGTGCTTGTCCACTTTACTTGACAGGTGAGCATTTCTGCCAGGACTCTTGACGTCTGACAACCAGGACTGGTTGGTGCCTGGTTAACTTACAAGGCTAGCTCAACAAGAAATAGGAATTCATGCAAGGCATGCACAGAAGTTACTTGGCGAAATGCATGTCTGTTAAGTTCCCTTTCACATTCACATGACGTGCCTGACCTAAAGTCACAGCCAAGAACTGCCCACGATCTGCATTTCTGCTCAGACGTGCTCCCAGTGCTGAAGATGACTAGTTTTAAAATCATGGAGGCCCAGTCATTTTAGCAGCCCCTTTCTGAGGTTTCGCTCATATGTCTTCATTAAGGACAACTATGTAGATATTTTTCACAACAGCTCATATTACAACATTTTACTTTTTTACATTTTTATCGTGTGCTTTTCATGGCTTCATTACTTAGAGCACAGATGACTCAGCTGCCAAACCAGTACCCTGTGTGTTTCTTCTATCATTTCAGATTGATGACGTCTCCTTGCCATTGATAACAACTTCAGCTGCAAGCTATTAAATTAAAAACCAAAGCCTTATGATAGATTAGAACTGACTGTGCACTTCTAAATTACAGCTGAATTACTTACAGCTATAATAATGCTACTGTCAGCTAGCTACAGGCTTGGTGAGGTCTCAAGGTTTGAGCAGTATGCCCATACTATAAGCTTTCCAAAAATGAAGTACGCTTTTTTCTTTATATTCTGGTCAGCTCAGATCTGCTTTTGCATGTGATAATTACTCAGAAATCAAACTATAGAAGTACAGACTCTTGGCAGTTCATATACATCAGTATTTAAAAAGCCCAAGTTTCAAGAGCTGCTAAAACTGTGCAAGAGCTTATCGTGAAATGCTGTAGACTATGTGAATTTATCCAGTTTATTCCTTTGGAAAAAGAATTGTGACTATAACTTAACAAGAAACCCAAAATCAAAACTTTCTCTAACCATAGCAGCATAACTAAAATAAGACCCCCTTCAAATTAAACTGGGCTAGGGAAGAAGTGAGTCTCCAGAGCTTAGATGGAGCTGTTCTCCAAGTCATTTTGTGAGAAAGTGGAAAGTTTGAAAGTGTTAGTTTGTATTACGGAGTTGCGAGTTTCGATATGCTTTTCAAGACTGGCATTTGGAGTAAACGCTAGTCAAAGTTTTTACAGCATTAAATAGTTATCATAAAATATGCTTGAGGTTCCACAGAACATGCTTTCAACGCTGATTTTATTATAATCTTGTTCAAATAATTTTTAGATTTTAGTTTGACATCATAGCGTCAACCTGCTATGATAATTTATAGAGCAAGACTCCTTGAATTACAAAAAAACCCCACGCATCCTGCATTTTATGTTAGGATTTTGACAGACGACCCTCTTTAGCTGTTAGCAAGCTTTCCTAAATGCCATACTTAAGGTGTCTTGAGACTACCAGGTTGTACAATGTCTTCAGTATCAAGAAGTCCAGTTAAAAAGTGCTCTTCACAAAGTTGTTCCTCCACCAGAATGTATTCTCTACAACTTCCAGTCAATGTTGCAAATGAAAGCTCTGAACGGTATTCAGATTAGATCTGAAGGACTACCTTAATTCTGGTTTATTTGTTGAGTCACTCTCCTCAGTCTATCCCCACCTTAATTATACTTTGTCTTACAACCTCAGGTACTAGCTCCCCATCTGAAACTTAGGCAAGCCTTGCTAGCAAATTGGCTAACGTAGAAATTTAGTCTAGCAGCTGACCTCTCCTTTGTGCAAGAAGCCAAAGAAAGTAAGTGAAAACAGTTTCTGGCCATCAGAAAAACCACCACCGAAAACTCCCACAAAAAAAGCCTGCTTGAGTATATTTCATCATATACTCATTAATTTCATCCACATTCTGAGCAGTGTGTTTTCACCCGTGGAGCTAGGATTTCTCCTCAAGGTCCCAGCCTTCCAAAACCTCCTTGCATTGCAATATCCAAATCTCAGTTTCACAGCTATTTCCCCTCACTGCCATCACGGAGTTTCACATGCTGGAGTCAAGTACCAAGATTTATGCTGGTTTGTGGTTGTTCTATGGTTTATCAAAAGACTTTCAAAGCACGGGAAACAGCTGGAAGATGGCCTGTGAGTTCTCCCCCTCCCCACCAAAGATTCGGGTATTTAAGAACATTCCCAAACACAGGTGAGTACAAACTCTGGCTCATTTTTAAAAAAGAGTTGAAAAAGATTCTGTCTGAGCAACACATAAAAGAATTTTAACAGATACAGTTCATCTCAGCAGCCGTGTCACTTTTGTCTGGGCAGTTAAGAGTGGGAAAACAATTACTTGTACAATAGGTTTACTGACCTCATCCATTTTAGATCTCTTCGCGACATACTCATCATCTTCGTAACCTTTCCTCTTCTTCCTAACCCCCATGCAGGAAAAAAAGTGAAATGTTTAAGAATTTTTATAAGTCGGAGTCTCCTTATTTGGCCACAAGATTAGATTATGGACATATCTGTCACATAAACTACCACAGCCTCAACTAGCAGCTTGGTGGAAGTTCGCAGTGGGTACTAAAGTGAAAAGGGCAGAAAAGCAGAATCAGGAAGTCATTTGCCATCCACATAAGTCTTAAGAAAATGTTAAACCTTTAACAATTCTTGTTTTAATCACATGATTTTAAACCCTTGTTTCTCATTAGGTATGACATCAAGTGGCCTTAGAAGCCACCCGGGATTCCAGTTCTGTGTTACAAAATAATCAGTATTACAGCTTGCAGTGCAAATGAGCACAAAAGAATGTACACATGTATTACTGAAAGCACTACTTTGAGTCTTAGTTCTCAATTTCCAGTAGGCATTCACATAGTGAGCACGTGAACTGATGTCCGTGGCTATATATTTAGATGTTTTCGTTTTCAGTTACTCACAGAGATCAGAGAAAGTTAATGTTTCCATAACAATAAAAAAAGGCAGAAGTTTAATGCAACAAAGATGAAGTATCTACTTACATGTTTGTATTAAGTGAAAGCTCCAAGCTGTGACACTTCTCTAATTTCTGTTTTAGAGCAGCAACCTCTTCAGGCCTTGGCAGTTCGTATTTCTTTATGAGACTTTTCATGCCTACAGTGACAACAACACAGCTCTAAGCAAATAAAATAATTTCTGCTCTACTTTGTGAATTACACAAGCTTACCAATCAGTAGTACAGCTACTGTTATTTCTTATCCCTCATACTTAAGCTTAAGCCAACAGTTTACCCTCCTTTCCCTCATTATAACAGAAGCACAGTACACATTTTCAAGCAGCTTTCATTAGGGGAAAAAAAACCCTACACAAAAAATAAAAAATCAGAATGATACACAGAATAAAAACAATGTAATAAGTTTTCAAGTCTACACCTCTGTAAGGTTTTGAAAGCACTCTATCTAGTTCTTAAACAGACTCAAAAGGATACTGCAAGGCAACATGCAATATAATGAAAACACTTGAGACAGAAAGCTTACCAAGTAAAATCGATCTCTTCAAGGCAAGCATTAGACATTCAAATGCCCAAATTGCTTGCTTAGAAAACTTCCCATCCCACATAGCACTCAAACTTTAGAGGATTAAAGATCACACATATAAGACTTAACTATCATCTTACGTCCAAGGATTAATTCTAAGTAATGTCAATGTACAGCAGAAGCTGAGCACAAAGAACTACACTGAAACAAATCGTCAGCATCATTGATTCTGGATTTCCTCAAGGTAAATTGTAATAATGCAGAGTTCACATTACTCTGCTAACAAGCTACAAAATACACAGTTTTTGCACACAGCATTGTACCTCAGCCTTAAGAAAATGATTTGTCTTGTTAAGAATACAAATTGAATTTACAGCTACCCTGCAAGAAACAAGACTTTTTCCCTGTACCACCAGTTCTCTGTAAAACTAGTAATTTACAGATGCTTCCAAATTTCCTTCCAGCCATTGTATGTTTACAGAAGAGCTGCCTTCATGCTAACACTACCTTCCAGAATAATACAAGTGAAGAATGTGATCCCAGCATTCCCTTTGCATCTCAGCAATGGAAACCTGAAGACTGGACTTGTTAGCAGGAAGAGAAACAGACGACCATCTTTAAATTTAAATTGAACTTATAAAACTTATTTATAGATCCTGGTGACTTTTATGGTGCATTCACTACTAAAGTCAGCTTAGTCAAAGGACTAGATTTTTAATGCTACTCTTCTCCCCTTTAAATGTGTGCATTAGCTTAAAGCATTGAATAAATGATTACTTACTTGAAATTTCATATGCCAGCCTTTTCATTCAATTAAAAGGGTAATAATCAATGTACGACATACCTCATTATCTTAGCTAAACCATGCTAGCATTCTTGATATGTTATATAAAGATATATATCTCTGTGTGTATATATATTTTTTCTCACACTAGCAAATGTAAACAACTTTTGAAACATTTGTATAAGCTGCAAAACAGAAGTGAAGCATAAATCTTGGCATACCACTTAACATGAATCATTTAGCTTAGGAAAGGTACCCTCTGGTGGTAGAAGTGGTTACGTGCAGGCTTTTCCCTGAAGCTGTAATTTTTAAGTCACAGTGACTGAAAAGAGGCATTTCATCCTAACGTACAAAAAACATCATCCAGTTCCCAAAACAGATTTCTCACTTTCAAGTCAGTTGCTAGCACTCTTGTTCTGAGAAGCATCTGCCTTTTAATTTCATCTGCTTATATCATAGGTAAGCCTCAGTGTTTTCTTCCCCTGCACTCACGTGCCGTGTAGTTCATTCTACTGCCCATGTGTTACTTACCTTCTGCCGGCCCCAAGATGAAGAAAACCACTTGAAGCACACCTTTCTGCTCAAAGCTTTTGTTGTTTGGAAAAAGCTGTTTTTCTTCCTTTAGAGATACTGTTTATCATATTTTTCCAACATTTACTTACATTTCATGCCATCTAGTAGGTTGGTTAAGGATGTTCTCTTTTCTTTCAGCGTAAGACTTTCTGATAAATAACTGCAAAGAGACACGGAAGAGTAAGTTCTTAAAGTGAAGTGTCATAATTATTTGTGGCAGCTACCATTAGTTAAAGTGTGTATTATTTATTATTTACATCTGTTAGAGCTTTATGATTAGACTTAGTAAGAACACTTTGGTTACAGAAGTGCTATAAAGTTATAAAACTCCATAGCTGTTCTTACAGAAGAAGGATGTTGCAAGTGACATGACAGAAGTATTCCCTGGCTCTCTAAAGAACTAAAGTTCCAATGCTGTAGAATTAGACATCTGTGAGTAAGCCTCACTGAGTTAGGTCAGCTTAACGTTTAAGATTCTATGAAGCGTCATACTAACATCACAGTATGACTGCTGGAAGAGCACATACTACACGAGAGCCACACAGACCAAATGATCGCAAAGCTTGCAAGATGGGACTGCTTCTTTTGGCAGCTGAAAGCAAATACTAAATACTGTCAAGTCTCTCAGTTCTTTCCTCTTCCCTCAGAGATTCAAACTCCCTTTTACTAAGAACATGAACACATACGCACACTACCAGGGTAAAACCCCAACACACATGAGCAACAATCCTCACTAAGATCCCCCCAAGTGGATCACTAAGATCCCCAACAACCAAGCAGTGTTATCCCTTCCCAGGAAGTGCACTTATAGACAAATTACAAAAATTCAAAGACTCCAAACTTCAGTACTCTGTTCAGTCTGTGTTAATTTCAAACTCACTTCATAGACATACACAGCTGTATCAGTTGCAGCTCCCAGACTGAGGCACCAGCCACTATGAAGATGATAATTACTATAAGCTAAGAACTGCTATATTAGCAGCTTGTAGAGTTCAAATTTAAGACTAATATTTAACCTTATGCTGATACCAGAACTGAAGATTTGGAGCCACCTATCTGCCACAGCACAGTGGCACCTGTTTCTTCCTGAAGGTCTAACTTGTTCAAGACTGACCTATACACTGACATTATGGGAGCAACATGTTTTCAAACCTTTCATGTTCTGTCCCACCTACTCAGAGGTCCGCAAGACCTGAGCTGCAGCATTTGCCTCTCTCAAGTCCAGCAGCTCAAACTCACGTAGAAACGTTAAATGGTGCAGACAGGTGACAAAGACTTGAGTTCTCCACAAATACACAGATATGTTCACATACCTTGATTCACATGCTATCTACAAATTATTCTAGTTCTTTTGTAAGCATGCTTTCCTGAATTTTGGCACAAGTAGTAAAGAATATAAATTCACGAACGAGAACAACGAGTTTCAAGTTACAGTAAGCACCTGAATGTTTTTGCACTACTCTGAGAGGACAGTGAACTCCGTAGAGGATACTCCCAGACTGTTTCATTCTTTTAGAACAAGAGACATTTGAGATGCATTTAGAGCAGGAGGAAGGAAAGCTTCTTTAAAAAGAACTGTTTGCATTTGCCATTAGCCATTGTGCCTGTAGGCATTACACTCTAAATGCAAAATGCTCAGATGGAGTGTCATGTGATTAAAACACCCCAGATATAGCCACTTATAGCAACTACCTTGGCTGTTTTTCTGAAGAAAAGAGTATGTTTTGTTCTCAGGTAAAACCAAACCAAATAATCCATGCATTTCAGCAATGATATCAAAGTGTTTGATAATGCCTTTGCAAAGACCAGTGGCTAGACCACAGAAAGCAAAGAAAGGACTGATTTAAAACAGCACCTTATCATTAATACTTTTCCATCAAAATTGAACAGTTGCACCAGCCAAATACAGCACTTCGCTTCTGCATGCTTAGTAACTGTCAGGTCAGTGTAATTTCAGTTGACTACGTAACCATAGATACCTTATATTTTTTTTTTTCCTTTAAGTGATTCTTTAGGTGTTTCATACTCTCAGCTTCTACTGTACTTCCACTTTCTTCACTCTAATCTTCGAGATAAGTCCGAAAATCCTATGCTGTTCTAATTAGGGAAAAGTCATCAGTTTGAAATTTTATTTTCCTCTTCCAAGGGAATATAAAAAACAAACACCAACTAAGTGCATTTATCACCTACTTTTTGAAAATGGAAAAAAAAACATTAAAAAACCCAAACAGTACCACTTCAGTTTAAAAACATAAAGAACATATCAGAGCGTTGAATACACACTTCTACTAGTTAAGAATGTCTCAACAAAACAATTTTATACCAGAAGCAAATAAACTGTATAAATCATACCTATAACGAAAAAGAAAAAAGACTACCTTTCCATGTTAATTCCTGCTCTTGAACCACTAGATAATATGGCAGTGAGAGCTATCTGTGAGGGAGTAAAGAGCAGATACGCATCTGTCAGAGCCACTCGATTGAGGAAGTCATCAGCTGTCTTCCTCAAAACTTCAGGATTCTCCAGTATTGGATAGCGAGTCTAAAAAGTAAGTATTTAGGAAAGTAAGTAGCTGTTCCTCATCTTTTGGTTCATAAGGTCTGAGCAAACAATTTAACAATATTTTGTAAAGCTAAAAAGTAGCAGGCCATCTTCTTATTCTAGAGATAATCTAAAAGGCTTAAAAGACCACAAGCAAACCGACCTCCTTTCAGGTATTTGCCTACCACTTTAGAAACTCGATCTTTTAAGATCACTGGCACAAAAGGAAATAAAGTTTTCTAACACAACACATGACAGATTTGTATTACGTTAGTATACAGAGTATATAGCATATAAAACAATACTACCTTCAAGTCGATTAGAAATCCCTCAAATGGCCTGTATGGATTGTGGACGATAAGATTGAAGTTCAGTTGCTGAATAAGCAGTAGTTCATATTCCAGTATTTGTTCAAGTGCTTTCTCCTGTCCAAGAGGGCTTTCTCGAAGGTTACCAACAAACTGTGCACTGGAGACGTTAAATTCATCTACTTTACAGGCCAAAAATGCACATGTGAGCCTTGAGGAGGGGAAAAAAAGCAGACAATTGACATGTGCAGCATCCACCTTGTTATCAAGAGTTCTGTTCAATAAATTTATATCTTCAAAACACCATGTTCTGAACACAGCAAACTTTTCCAAATGGAAACTGGAAGTGACCATACTGTGTCTTTACTCATATTCAAGCTCCCAGATGTACTTTGTCATTTTTTTCAAGTCTTTACACATATCAAGACTATACCTCCTATGTTCTGCTTGACGGAGTAACTCGAGATGCGTTGATAACTCACATTATTATCCGAGGATGATACTCCATCACTGAGTTATTGAGGTAAAAGCGTTTGAAATACATGCAAGCTGTTCCCTAAATAAAAAAAAAAAAAAAGGGAGGGAAAAGTAAGTATAGAAGCAAAAATGGATTAAGGAAAAATAATTTAAAAAATGGTATGACAAAACAGAACAGAAAAGTTTGAATATATACTGTAGACATACAGGATACACTAAAGCACTAAGACTAAAGCACTAAGAAAAATCAAATTAGCAAATCTACAGGAAAGAATTAGCACAGCTCTGTTCCCGGGGCCTGAAATTCAGGGATTAACCTCTAACTTGATTCACGCTGGCTTCAAGCAGGCAAGAAAATGGGAACACTGTCGGCTTATTTTCAGTGAGAACCGCGTTCCCTGCGCAGCGCTCCTGACGAGCAGAACAACCGGGACAGTCAGGATAGATGGTGCAGGAGCTGGTTTGGCAGGCCCAGAGAGCGTCACATGCCGGTACTGCTGCTGCGGGACAGGCACGGGGCATCGCGCCACCCCTACACCTGACCCCAACCCCGCACCACCCTGGGCCCTGCTGGCACAGGGTACCCCGAGGAGCCGCTGCTGGGGTGATGCCATGCCATGCTGTGCTGTGCCATGCCTCCTTCTGGAAGACAAGCCTTATGAGGAACGACTGAGGGAACTGGGGGTGTTCAGCCTGGAGAAGAGGAGGCTGAGGGGAGACCTCATCACCCTCTACAACTTCCTGAAAGGAGGGTGTAGAGAGGTGGGGGCTGACCTCTTCTCCCTGGTGACAAGTGACAGGACAAGAGGAAATGGATTCAAGTTATGTCAGGAGAGGTTTAGATTGGATCTTAGGAAACATTTTTTCACTGAAAGGGTTATTAAACATTGGAATAGGCTGCCCAGGGAGGTGGTGGATTCACCATCCCTGGAATTGTTTAAAAAAAGGGTAGAGGTGGTACCTGGGGACATGGTTTAGAGGTGGTTTTGTCAGGTTAGGTTAATGGTTGGACTTGATGATCTTAAAGGTCCCTTCCAACCTCAGCAATTCTATGATACTGAGACGCACACAATGCCATGTCATTAAATATTTAAAGGTCTAACACATCTATGCCTGGAAAAAAAAATGGCAGTTTGGTTATCTTTTCCTCCATTTTTAGACATATATTTAGGAAGATGATGCTCAAACAGTCGTCAAAAATATCTTCCAGAGAAAAATTCGACATTTAAGTTACAATTAAAAACCAAAGAGTGAACAAATTATCCTGAAAGCTGTGAGTAATCCCAGCCAAGAGATCTGACTTCTTACATCAGTTAATTTCCCAATACATTTAACATGTATGCTTCTCTGTGTGCCTAGAACTACCACAGTCTGTCAATGCCAAATTTCCAAGCTGATCTAAACACCACTGGCATGAAAGCAGATGTATTCCAAAAACATTACTTGGTGAGTCTAACCCAGCAAACACACGCTACAGGGGCCACTTGTGAAATAGAAGGTCTGGCTCCACAGAGCATATAACTGCAGCCTACTGCTACATTTCAAATGCATCTTCAGACTAGGCACTCTTCATCTTTGTTATTCACCACAACTTCCAGACAAAGGGAGGACTGACACAGGACAATATAGGTTATATATCTTTATGGCTACGTGAAAACAGAAGCACAATTTCATTCCCTGCTTCAGCTGTAAGACCCCACTCTTTCTCTTCTGAAACACACTCTTCAAAGATAAGTCAGTTCTAAGATTTTTTTTTTCTTTTGTTAGTTATTTTCGTGCCCGTACAGGTACTTGCACCAGCTTGCTTTGTGGTCAGACAAGCACCAATGCCTGAGATACAACTGGACCAAAAAGCCCAACTTTGTGATCAGTGAGATCATTGTATTGCTTAATAAGGCCACATGTCTTTAGGTTTGTTTCTAGTTTTTGCTTAAGGGAGAGGAAAGAAAACATTTGAGTCATCCATGCAAGTGTAGCAGCCACAAGAAATGGATGAAGGTGAGAAAACAACTCTCTGTTTCCAAAACGGCTGCACTGCCCAGAAAACAGGAAGACATAAAAAGCGGTCTCAAACACAGAGTGTTGGACACTGGAAGGCGAAAAACCTGAAAGGTATCCGCGGTCTCAAGAACAAGACAAGCAAGCAGCAAGCGAGGGACCAAGAGGCATGAAGGGGGCAAAGCCTGCAGCTCCCGTGAGCCACCAGACCGCGAGCAGATCAAAGCAGCACCGAGCAGGCACTGCTGCTTACCACCACAGATCTCGGCATGGCAGGCTTGAAGACGGCGCAGAAGTCCAGCAACCGCTTTTCGTAGTACTTGCATATCGCCAGCTCCTCGTGGGGCTCCAGAAGAATGAGGTCGTTCTGCTGGACCTTGAGGGGAGCAAAGCTGAGACTCACTACAGGGCTGCGCTCCCCGCTTCCGCCCCGGCTCCTGCCCTCAGAGGCGCAGGGAGCGCCCGCCGGGAGGAGGCCGCAACGCTCACC